CGGGAGATGCTCTGCAGGACAACATCTCTGCTTACTCAAATAAGCCACTTGGAACACATTAAGATAGATATCAACCTGCTATGCAGATCAGGAGAGTATTGCATCTTCACGGAGTGGGATAATTAAAATAAGGATACTCTCCTCTCAGCTGACCAACAGCTTGTCTCCCACTTCTACTTCACGGGATCTCCGATCACATAGAGTGGGTTACCACTATGGACAACTCATGCGGTGGGTCTCAAACCCATCTCCATTTATGCATTATCTATCACATTACATGATAGACCCTTTGTGAAGGGATCTACCAAGCTTTTCGACATTTGGATATAATCCAACGTAATAACTCCGGAGTTTCTCAGTTTCCTGACAGATTTTAATCTCCTCTTCACATGCCTTGAGGACTTCATATTGTCCTTAGAACTGTTTATCTTGACGATCACAGTTTGATTATCACAGTTCATGAGGATAGGGGGTATAGGTTTTTCAACCATAGGTAAGTCCATCAATAGCTCACGAAGCCACTCTGCTTCAACAGCGGCAGTGTCTAATGCTGTGAGTTCTGCTTCCATAGTTGACCTCGTTAAGATGGTCTTCTTGCAAGACTTCCAGGAAACAGCGCCACCACCAAGTGTAAAAACATAACCACTTGTGGCCTTAATCTCATCAGCATCAGATATCCAGTTAGAGTCACTATAACCCTCCAGTACCCTTGGATACCCGGTGTAGTGAATCCCATAGCTCGCAGTGCCCTTCAAGTAGCGCATAACTCTCTCAAGCGCACGCCAATGATCATCTCCCGGTTTTGACACGAACCGACTCAGCTTGCTCACAGCAAAAGAGATGTCAGGCCTCGTGGCACTCGCCAAATACATAAGCGAGCCAATAATATGAGAATACCTCAGTTGATCTCTAGCAATTCGTCGATTCTTTCGAAGCAACACACTAGCATCATATGGAGTTGGAGAAGGCGTGCAGTCGCTATACCCAAAACGACTCAAGACCTTTTCCACATAGTGAGACTGAAGCAGTGTGATCCCACCATTCTCATCTCTCAACAGCTTGATGTTTAAGATAACATCAGCTACTCCTAGATCCTTCATCTCAAAACAGCGAGATAAGAAATCCTTAACCTCCTTGATTAAATCAAGTTTGGTTCCAAAGATCAATATGTCGTCGACATACAGACAAAGAATAACTCCTTCGCCCCCACCATGGCGATAGTACACACACTTGTCACCATCATTTACTACAAAGTCGGCAGCAGTTAATGTTCTTTCGAACTTCTCATGCCACTCCTTAGGAGCTTGTTTAAGGCCATATAAAGACTTTAATAACTTGCACACCTTTCCTTCTTGACCAGGTACTACAAAACCATCTGGCTGATCCATGTAAATTTCCTCCTTCAACTCTCCATTGAGGAAAGCCGTCTTAACGTCCATTTGATGAACGAGAAGACCATGTGAGGCAGCCATTAATAGTAGCACCCAAATTGTGGTCAGTCTAGCCACGGGTGAGTAAGTATCAAAGAAGTCTTCACCTTCTTTCTGGGTATAACCCTTAGCCACAAGCCATGCCTTGTACTTTTCAATCGTACCATCAGGTCTAAGCTTCTTCTTGAACACCCACTTACATCCTACAGGTTTGCACCCATAAGGACGGCCAGTGATCTCCCAGGTTCCGTTAGCTAAGATGGAATCCATCTCGCTACAAACAGCTTCCTTCCAGTAGTCAGCATCAGGAGATGCATAGGCTTCTGAAATAGTCCTGGGTGTGTCATCCACAAGGTACACAATGAAATAATCACCAAAGGACTTTGCAGTCCTCTGTCTCTTACTCCTTATAGGAGTTTCATTGTCACCCTCAACAGGATTCTCAACGTGTTCCATCGCAATGGTGGGTTCAGGAATTATAGTGAGTTCCTCACTAGATGGAATAGGTATCTCCTGATTTGATGAACTTGACATATCCTTCATAGGAAATATGTCCTCAAAGAAAGTTGCATCATTAGACTCCATAATGGTACCATTTAGCATGTCGGATACCTCAGATTTTATTATCAAAAATCTATAGCCAATGCTATGAAAAGCATAGCCCAGAAGAACACAATCCACGGTTTTTGGTCCAAGCTTGCGCTTCTTGGGAATTGGTATATTGACTTTCGCCAAACAACCCCAAGAACGTAGGTAAGAGAGTTTCAACCTTTTCCTTTCCCATTCCTCAAATGGAGTCATGGTCTTATGCTTTGTGGGAACTCGGTTTAGGACATGACACGCGGTCATTAGCGCCTCCCCCCACCATTCCTTGGAAAGACCCGATGTGTCTAACATGGCGTTAACCAAATCAGTTAGAGTTCGGTTCTTTCTTTCGGCCACCCCATTCGACTGAGGTGAGTAGGGAGGTGTCCTCTCATGGATTATACCATGTTCCACACAAAACAGATCAAATTCATTGGAAAAATACTCTCCATCACGATCGGACCTAAGCCGTTTAATTTTTCGATCAAGTTGGTTCTCTGCCTCAGATTTATAGTTTTTGAAGAAAGTTGAAGCCTCATCTTTTGATTTCAGAAGATACACATAACAATATCTAGTGGAGTCATCAATCAACGTCATGAAATATCTCTTTCCACCTTTTGTCAACACGCCATTCATCTCACAAAGATCAGAATGTATAAGTTCTAGTGGCGCCAAGTCTCTTGCCTCTGCAGTCTTATGGGACTTGCGAGGTTGTTTAGCTTGCACACATACTTGGCACTTAGAGCCTTTGACAGTAGAGATTTTAGGAATTAAATTCATATTGGCTAGCCGCGTCATGCAACCAAACTTAATATGACAAAGTCGTGAATGCCAAATATCCGACTCATTATTGTGGCAAACATTATTAATAACTTTAGTGCAAATATCTGACAAAGATAGGCGGAACAAGCCTCCGCACTCATAGCCTTTTCCAACAAATTGTCCACACTTGGAAATTACAACTTTATTGGACTCAAAAACCAACTTAAAACCATCTCGACATAAACAGGAACCGCTAACAAGATTTTTATTGATGGACGGCACATGATGAACGTTCTTCAGACGCACGGTCTTCCCCGAAGTAAACTTCAGATCAACCGTACCAACACCTCGAACGATGGCATGTGACCCGTTCCCCATCAGCACGGGAGAAGTCCCTGTGGCCTGGTAAGAAGAAAACATGGAGGCGTCAGCACAAACATGTACATTGGCACCGGTGTCAATTAACCAATCAGGGGATTGAAATACTGAAAGGATGGTAGGAAAAATACCGTACCCTGATTCCTTCATATCAGTATCACTAATGACAACATTAGCGGACTTGCCGCCCTTCTCATGTTCGCGCTCCTCAAAGCGGTTAGGACACTTCGGAGCCCAGTGATTAGGATCACCGCAGACATGGCAGAGTCCCTTCCCCTTCTTATGAGAATTCTTCTTGAAGTTGGTAGAGTGTGATGGCTTGTTCTTTGTATCAAACTTGCCTTTCCCCTGAGTTTTGTTCTTGTTGTTTTTGAACTTATTGGGCTGGAAGTTCTTCTTCTGTACCATGTGGGCACTAGAAGCTCCCTCGGCAACTCGAGCACGTGTGTCCTTTGCTCTCGCCTTCTCTTCAACATCAAGAGTACCAATGAGATTCACAACGGAAAACTCCTGTCTCTTGTGTTTCAGGGAAGTAGCAAAATTGTTCCACGAAGGTGGAAGCTTGGCAATAATGCCTCCGACAACACACACTTGAAGTGCTTAAGTTCTTTTGCGAGCGACTATATCTGATGAACCTGCTGTACAACAGAGCGCTCATCAGTCATCTTGTAGTCATAGAATTGCTCCATGACGTACAACTCGCTACCGGCGTCCGAGGCACCAAACTTGGCCTCTTGCGCAGCCCACATGTCCTTGCTGTTGTCAAACGACATATACGAATCCACAATGGAATCATCAAGAACACCCAGAAGAGCGCCTTTAAAGAGAGTATCGATCTTCTCAAAAGCTTCCTGCTGTGCTGGATTAAGATCGCCCTCAGGCTTGCCCTTAATTAGTGGCGTCATAGCAGCCCATGGTCTGAAACCAGTAGACTCCTCTCATGCGCCACCTCTTATATTGCGCCCCCTTAAAGGCAGGCGGCTTCAGATGCGCAGCAAAACCATTCGGAGTAAATTGCCTATAATCAGTTTTTTGGATTGTTGGAAATATGAGCAAATTACTACGAGATTTAATCCGAATAAATAGAAGATAAATCATGACTACAGTAGCAGAGATTGAACTAAGCATGCGAACTAGCATAGCAGATGAACAAATCACATCTAGGGCACATACTAGAAACATGAATTCTATCACGATCTCGAACAGGAAAGATAGAATCACGTACGGTGCAGCGGGAGCAGCACCGCCGGCGTTGACGTTGTCGCCCATGTCGTCGAGGATGAGGTTGCCGAGGTCGGGGAAGAAGTCGTCGTTCGCGAAGTCGTCGCTGCCAGCAGTCGCGCGAGTGCGCTCCCCAAAAACCTGATCGCCCCTCTCCCGTACAGGATCACGAGAGGCGGGGTTCCGGAGGTCTGCTGTCCCTTCTCCCAGTGCACGCCGAAAGGAGGGATGGAGAAGACTTGCTTGGCGGCGCAATGATCTGGAGCCGGGTAGGTCGTGGGAGTAAACCCCACCCCACGTCCGAGTCGTCACGATCCAAAAGAATTAATTTTACCCGAGCAGCAAAAATATAGACAACATGCATAGCTCTGTCCTCGGCTCGGCTCAATTGCGGCGCGGCGCGGCGAGCGAGGAGGAGGAGCGCGCGTGTAGGTCTCCTCTTCTCATGCTCATACAAGTGGTAGGAGAGCTCACCTTATAAAGAGGTGCAACTCTCTCTCAACTTATGAGGTGGGACTAAACTTTAGCCTCACTCACTCCACTCACATGTGTGCATGAATGGGCCAAGAGAATTTTAGAATTTTAGTTGGGCTTTGGGCCAAAAGCGCACTAACAAATTCCAACATATATGCCTAATGGAAGCCTAGACACGATCCTTTTCGGTAATTCTCCCAACTCTTATTAAAACTTTGGCACACTACTCTGGGTATATTCTTCTGTTGTTTTTAGTTCCAGTGGTGCATGTGTGTAGCAGATCCTGAGAAGGCAAACCAACTGGACTGGACCAAAAGAAAAGGTATCATCTCCGGGATTGCTCGAGGTCTACTGTATCTCCACGAGGACTCTCGTCTTAAAGTCATACACCGTGACCTGAAGCCAAGCAATGTCTTGCTGGATGATGTGGATATGAATCCCAAGATCTCCGACTTTGGTCTGTCTAGGGCTTTTGGTGGAGATCAGTCGATCGACATAACAAAACGGCCTGTCGGCACGCTGTAAGTCTGTCCTTATCTACTTTGTCTGCAGAAGTACATTTGATAAAAATGGCATGCACATCATTATTGCAGTAAGTATCACCATAGACCATCTTGTTGGCACTAATTGACCACTGACTGTAGTATTTGTTTCGGAACTAATTCATGCATGCAGTGGATACATGTCTCCGGAGTATGCCTACTGCGGCCAAGTCTCTACCAAGTCAGACATGTACAGCTTCGGTGTCATCGTTCTAGAGATTGTGACTGGCCGGAGGAACAATAGGTCACTCGAGGATAATAACACGGCCGCCAGATCTCTGCTCAGCTACGTACGTAAGATCCGTAGACATATGTTAATATGTCTAGTGTACGTTGCCTCCCTCGTATATGTTGGGACAACTGCTCAGCCAGCTGCAATAATATATCTTCTTGCAGGTATGGGATAAGTGGAGCGCAGGGACGACGCACGAGGTGGTGGATCCTTCCCTGCGCGGACGTTACCTCGAGGGTGAGGTGGTCAGCTGCGTGCGGATCGGGCTGTTGTGCGTCCAGGAGGACCCGAGTGCCAGGCCGGACGCGGCGGAGGTGGTCCTCATGCTCGACAGCCACTCCACGTCCATCACCATGCGGACTCCCTCCAGGCCGGCCTTCTGCTTCACAGAGCCTGGCGTCGTCAACCCGGCGCTCGGTTACCATGGCACCCGGGATGCTAATGCTATGGCCACCGGCCACCTGCCAACGCCCGGTTCAGATAATGAAGTGACCATCTCCGATCTCCAGCCTAGGTAGGAGTAGGACCATCTACGCAGCACAAGTTTGTATAGTTGATAATGCGAGAATACCTGCTGTTTCAGAGGACGATATATATGCAATGAAATGAATAGCGCGCTATTTCGGCGTTTTAGCGTCGCTATAGCATATTTGGGAGGCTCACGTTACGTTTGAGCACACTAGTAAATATGCCCGTGCGTTGCACCGGGAGAAAGAACTTAACATGTCATTCATCATGTTAGAAGCTACCGGGTCGAGCAAAGTAGAATTTTTAGGGAGGGAAGCGCAAGATGTATATGATTAACCTAAGGCTGCGAAACATGTAATCAATGGACCATGTGCCATGTGAAGATGTATCATACGAAGGGCAACCACATTTCCTCATACAAAAACAATAAATCCACGTCGGCTCGTTGATAAAGCCGTACAGGGAGCCGACGAGAAAAATAGAGGGGGACAAGATGTCGCCGACCTGCTCAACACGAGCCGCCGTCCTACTACACATGTGCAGATCCAATGTAAATCAATGTCATCCGCAACCGTACATTGTCACTCTTATGCGCGTCGTTCCAAAGAAAGAGACCGAGAAAGAGAGGAAAGGGTACAACCCCCCTCAAAAACGTATAAAAGAGCATAAGAGTTTCCTACACTCCTACATCCATCCCTCGTCAGAATTTCCTATTTGCTTGCATCGGCAGCAGTCAGTGAATGATAGGTGTTGTCTATGCTGAGTTGCGTTGTTGTGTCTATCACACCACGCACAGCCGCTACCAAGCACGTTGTTGGCGCCAGTCATCGCGATGCAACCACACATGCTGCCGAGCACACGCGCTGCCTTAGATCGAGCCTGAATGTAGTCGGTGCTAGGACACATAGCATCCAGCCAAGGTTTTGTGTTTCGTTTGTAAATTTGCCTTGAATGAAATGGGTGAACTTTGAAATTTTGTTTTTTTTTAGAAATCTCGGACAAAAAGGACAATCCAAAATTTAATTTATTTGGACGAAACATGAACAAAAAATGACTGAAATTGCACAATTTTTTTGAATCCTCCAGCAATGGAATAAAGCAGAGTCAAACTGAACAACACCGATCCCTTGATTGATATACACCCATGAATAGCCAAGAACAATTCGATTTAGCGGACTACCATAAATCCCATAATTCAATCAGCAAGATTACCATAGTACTTAGTACTCATCTTTGTATGATTAGTACTGCATCAATCATGCTGTCAAGCACACGCATCTGCACCGGTCCCTTTCGAGTCACCCGGCATGTCTGAATCCAGCAGCTTTCAGTCGGTACAGTTGATTAAAAAAAGCAACATGCACCGCCCACTGCGTATCCCTTATCCACAACAACACATCGCCATTCCCCATCACAGACACTCCGCCTCCATCTTCCTCCTCGTCCTACCTCACCCACCCAACGCTGCTCATCCTCCTCTTCTCCATCCATCTCACCACCCAAGCGTTGCTCACCTCTTCGTGCTGCCTCCCTGTCTCCTCCACCCGCACCTAGAGTGGAGCTCCTCTCTGCCACGAGCCACCCCAGCTGCCGCCGCCCCTCTCCTCCTCTCTCTCAGCTTTTTCCTTATCCTCTCGAGGGAAGGGAGTCGCCAAAGAACAACCCGCAGCAGTCCGGCTACCTTGGAGCTCGCCCCGCCGCCGGGCCGACCACCTCTTCGTCGGCCTCGTGCTCCTCCGCGTCGATCCGAACAACCAGGCAGCACCCCCGCTGCCTTGGAGCTCTAACCGCCTCCGGCTGGCCACCTCTCCGTCGGCCTCGTGCTCCTCCGCCTCGATCTGTCCGCCCCGTCGCCGGATCCACGCCGGAGCAGCCGGATCTGCCGCCCCGTGCATGTCCTGCCGCCGGGAGGAGGACGCTCGAGAGGAGCGCCCGTTCGTCCGGGACATGGGCCACACAGCTTGCTCCACCCCTGCCGCAGGTCTTCAAACAACCTCGCTCTCTTTCTATCAACTCTCTCATCCTCCATGCTGTAGACAACTCAAATCCATGTCGGGCACTCCATTGCTTGGCGGCGGACAGGTCACAATCCGGCAGCGAGCTCGCGGAGGCATGGAGGTCCGACGGCCATGGCTTCCTGCGAAGGAGAGAGAGGGAGGTGACAGAAAGAACCGGAGTGAGGGGAGGGAACAAGAAGAGGAGGGCAAGGCGGCGCGTTGGTACGGCGGCGCTGCTCCGGTGGCCGGCCGGCGCGGGGCTTCTTTCAGCCGAAACAGTGCAAACATGTCCCAGAATTAGTACCACCTCGTGTGTATATATCTTAAATCACCTAAGCAAGATGAAAAAAACTAAAAATAATCTAAGCGGGACGAAACCAAACCAAGAATACCTATTCCCTTTAATAGTAGGTATAGATATAGATTTGCTCGCTACGACGCTAAACACGCTATAGCGTGCTATTTTGGCGTTTTAGCGAAAAAACGTTATACGTTTTAGCGTGGAATGGACCAAAACAGGGTCATCTAGGCTGTTGGACAGACAGCAGGCTCAACAGCCCATTGGGGAATCGGCCCAAAACTTTCTCTTGACCTAACCTAGCCATCGGGCATCAGACCACAACACCACGCACTGGCAATCCCCTCCCAAGTTTCACATCGATAGCTTGTAGCGGCGGCGGCTGCTGCGGTGACCCCAACTCGAAGCTGCCGCGTCCATGTCAGCCACACCGTCGGCGCCGGCGACTCAGCCAGGTGAGCTCTCTCTCTCTCTCTCTCTCTCTCTCTCTCTCTCTCTCTCTCTCTCTCTCTCTCTTCCGTAGAACCAACTCGCCGGGATGTGAGAAGAGCACCACCGTCCGCACACCCATTGCGCGCGCACGGGTGTCGCCGCCGCCGCCGCCGCGGCCTTGCGTGCACAGGGTCTCCTCGGGCGGCGGTAGGGCTAGAGTCCGCCGGCGTCGTGACGGGGCTGGATCTGGAGATGGGTTCTCTCGTTGTGGGACTAGGCCTCGGGTGTAGGCCGTTCTGCTAGGCGGCGGCCGATGTGTAGATGCCTAGATGGACAGATCTCTCTTCTCTGTAGTGTAGTCTGAATGTGTAGTTCTGTACTTCTGTAGTCATGTGCAGTTTTGTTCATGCTGATTTTAGTTACTACTCCTTGACTCACACTATACTACAGATGGGATTATGAACACTATACTGCAGTTTTGTTCTTGCTGTTAGTGTAGAAGAGTTTTGTACTTCATACTGTTTCTTACTGACTGAGTGCTGAATTACTTATGTTTCTTGTTGTGTTCATTGTCTGATTGTAGGCCTCGGCGTGTCAAGCACAGCATCAACAGCCCATGGACAAGCTGCCATTGCGAATGCGAAATCAAAAGACCCAGGATGGAAATATTGCATTTGCCCGGATGAAAACAAGAAGAATTCACTTAGGTGCATCTATTGTAATAATCTGTACACCAATGGTATTACTCGGATCAAGTTCCACCTTGGAAACATTCCGAATTCCAATGTTCTACCTTGCACAAAAGTGCCTGCTGATGTAAGGGATGAAATTGTTGAGTATTTGACAAGAAAGGGTGAGAAAAACGCAATGAAGGTTACAGAGCAGAAGAGAAGGAGATGTGAAGTGGACTTGAGCCACTCAGAGGGGGAAGGTGCTAGTGACTCAGATGACTCATATTAGTGCCCTTGAAAAATATTTGCCTATGTTATGCTAGCAAACTTGATTTGTTCTCAACTTCATAGAAGTGTCCTGTTGTCCGTGTTGTAAATGTACGCAATCCTGGTGTTCGTGTTGCTTGATATGAATTGATGGCTGGTTTGTGCTGTACAGTGTATAACTTTCCTTGATGTAGAATATATTTCCTTGCTTCCTTACTGTGATAACATATTTGTTTCCTTGCAAACTTGCCATGTTGCTTACTTGGTTGCTGTTACCTATAGATTCACACAAAGAAACGCAACAGGCTGCTTCATAATAAAATGAGAGACCTTGTTTTTATCAAGTTCAACTCCAAACTCAAACAAAAGAGAAAGATGAAAAACAGGGACCCGATTGTGGACCACACATTTGTAGATGTTGTAGAAGATGAAGATAATGAGTGGATCACAGGTATTGTGCCTCATGAACCTGATGAAGTTGTAGAAGTTGCAGCATCAACATCACAAGGAGCAGTTGGTGCATCAAAAAGAAAGAGAGCGTCCCAATCTCGCCCTCGGAAGAAGAAAAAACTGCTCCCTGTTTTTCGTGAAGATGAGTTGGAGTCAGCTAGTTCTTCTTCTGAATCGGAAGATGATGCCATGCATTCACCATCTGGTTCATCAAATGAGAGTGATTCTGAATAATTTCCAAGTTGTCGCTGTATTGTAATGTTTACTTGTTGGCTTGTTGCCTTGTTGGCTAGTTCATCTTTAAACTGATATGTTGTACTATTGTCGTCCTATGGCAGTTGTTGTTGCCCTTCTAGTTTTTTGGACAAGTAATTTCGCATGTGTCGCTATGGACTGCTGTATTGTTATGTTCTCCATCTAGTTCATCATAAAACTACTATGTTGTATTGTTATTGTTGTTCATCTTAATTAGTTATGCATGTATGGCTCCTGAAAAAAAATATTAGATGTTGAAATCCTTATTTTTTGGGATATATTTGGCTTTTTTTAAAAAAAACGCTATTTTGAATATAGCACGCTATAGCATGCTATAACTTGTATAGCATTTGGAGAAGGGCCACGCTATTTTAAATAGCACGCTATGTGTTGGACCTTGACTTGTTATTGAAGAAGATGCCAAACTGTGAACCGTACATATATATACGTGTGATGCATTGGAAGCTCGGAATTATTATAAAGCATAAATTGCGAAACCTTCAAAGTATGGAATTGATTATTGCTGAACCTGTCGAGTAAATAATGCAACGATTCCATTTCAACTCATGAACATTGGTTTGAAGAGAAACATCATAATGCACCAAATGGATTTTGAAGACCTAGGGCACTGTTTCCACTATACCTTTCAACATTGAACAACAAAATCAACGTAATCTGGGGCAAAATGATGAAACGAATGATACAACGGGAAAAAATGATTTAAACTCTACTAAAAGACCTATGCTTCTTTAAATACTCCCTCCGTCCTAAATTACTTGTGTATCTAGACAAGTAATTTGGGACGGAGGTTGTACAATTGAAGTAGTATGTTACAAAAAAGGTGATGACAGGTACAGTGCATGTAGGCAATGCCTCTGTTGGGGCAATGATGAGAAATTCAAAGATGTTGGTATTGTTAGACACACACGAGGAACATGGTGTATTAATTAGCAGTTCCGCAATATAAAAATTCAGAACTGATCAGTTATTTTGCCAAATAACTAGTTATTTCTATTTCTAACGTTTCATCACATTTCACAGTAGATGTGGTCATGGTAGCTAGTTACTCACTACTTTGAGAAATGGAATGACCACATGAAGGGAAAATTCGAAAAACAGTAAATGTGTTGCTAGTCAACAGAGCAGAACAATGCAACTTATATAGCATAGGTTAATATATAGGGTGGCCCATTATATGACATCGAAGACATACACTTTGAGAAACTTACCCTTTTACAAAAGATCTCTGAGAACATAAGAAATAGGCAGACTAATCCCAGATTGCTACGGTCTCAACTGAACTAACTACACTCTCCTATGGTCAGCATACTAAATTCTGCGAGTCTTAGCTGCTTTCTCCAATATATCAGCAATGACAGAAGGACATGTCCTTTTCAGGGACTCATACCCTTTACTTGCCATCACACCAACCATTCTATTTGAAGAGTTGATAAATCCAATGCAGGCATCTTTGAGCTTGCTGCAATGATGCTGATCGGCTAAAGCTAAGGTGGTCGCAACAGTCCCGGTATGAAGAACCCCACAAAGTTTGATCTCGCACATGTACTTCATCCTTTCCATGGCGTACCTATCTGCGGCCATCAGCAAATGCCTGACCATTTCTTCATACTCATCATCATCTAGGTAATCCAATGGAGGCAACGAATCAGTGTAGATGAAGTGAAGCAGTCCTCTGAAAACAGCGGGCTGCATGTCTTCGACGGTTATGCTGCGGCTACTCTCGTCCCTCATCGGGCCGTAGAACTTTACCCTGAAGACCGGCGACCGCATTGCGAGGATGATCTTATGAGCTGGGAAAATCTCCTCCTTGACCTTGAAAGACACATCGGATCCCTCCGTAGCCTCCAGCAAGCTGCTAAGGTTATGAACCAATTCGGACGGCGGCGCCTGGGCCTCAAAGTTAATCTTGACATCAGTCTCTTGTGCGTCCTTCAACTCGATGATGGCAATATTGCACTCGAGGATAAGGGTGTCATCCAGAACGTACGGCCGCAGCTCCGTCCTCCTCATGAAATGGGTGTAGCCCGAGCAGCAGTTATAGTCATCAGCGGAGTTGAACACCAGCGGCTCGTACTGGCTGGGGACCGGCCACGTGAAAGGTGGCGGCGGCCAGGCCTGGTCGACCACCCTCACATGGTAGAGCGCCCTCGCCTCTGCGTCCGGGGTCTTGAGCTCGAGGAAGACTGAGACGTAGTCCTTGCTGTCCTCCCTGACGCCGTCGGGGTAGAAGTAGACGCACCAGTCATGGCCGCCGACGCGGAAGACGGTGGACTGGATGGACTTGCCGACGCCGAGGCCCCTGCACAGGCTGTAGCCGTCGATCTTGAACAGGTGCGTGCCCTCCGTGGTCTCCGGGGCGCAGGCCGAGGCCGACATCGTCCGTGGTGGGATCTGAGATGCGGACATTGTTGTACTGGCGCAGCGGGGAAGGAGAACGGGGACGAGGCGGTTCAGGAGGAGGGTAACGGCGGGCGGCGGTCCGGCGATTTGGGGGATGGGGAACGGCGGCGCGGCGAGGCGATTCGTGAGTTCTTTTCTTTTCTTTTGAGTTAAGGATTTGACGATTCGTGTGGGGCTTCAACGGAGTACTTGGAGGCCTCTTGTACGTACTTATTATTACGCGTGGCTGTTTCCGATTCGGACACAACTGTCCGCCTTTGTTCTACCTTCTCCTATTTTCAGATACCTGTCGGATTTAAACCCGGTCAGATTTGAACATCTAGCTGTTTTCAGTTTTACCGCTAAAAAAAAGTTGTTCTCAGTTTCATCTCCGTTCTGCAATTTACCGTGTTCATCTTTAAGGGCATTTCTAGCCAATCTCCAATAAATAGCGGAGTCTCCAAAAAAATCAACGGCGCACCACCTGCAACGGTGAGCCAACGAGCCGTTGGGCCGGCACCGAGCCCCGGCGACGGCTGGGCGTGTCTTTGCCGGCGAAACGCCGACGGGAGAGATCCAAACGGCTAGAGGTGGAATCAATACCTGCATGTGGCGTGGAGGCGTTGCCGGGGTTGTGCGGCCCGGTACCCGGCCAATCCATGGCAAGGCACAGTTGCCGGCGGCTGGATGCGCCAAATTCGGCGGCAGACGCGGAAGCCGCAGATATACCGGTTGTGCGCCGGCGACGGGGCGAGAGGGGCACAATTCCGGATGGTCAAGGACCACGGCGGAGCCTACGAAGTGTCCGCGGCTGAGGGTGGTGCCCGACGAAGGGTGGGAGGGGCGGCGTCGGCGAAGATGCTGTGCGGGAATGGAGCGAAGGAGGCAATGGAGGAGAGCGGACTTTTACTCAGTCGCCGAGGGGTGGAGTAAATAGAAAGATGCAGGGCGCGGCTAAGGATAATTTATCCTCCACCGCCGCCGATTGGGGATCTACTAGGTGCCGGTTAGAGGAGTAAAAACGAATTTGTACTCCTCTAAACGGCTATAGGGGATATGTTAGAAATGCCTGAACTGGGATACATCGGCGAGTATACTGAGTGGCATCATAAGAAAAAAAAAACAGCATATCTAAAAGAAAAGAGCAATACTGAGCATCGGTCGATCGATGGGGTGCGCCATGTGACCGTCTGATTTGTCGATTCCATCGCCCCTTCCCCACATGAACGGAAGTTGCGCCCAGCTCATAGGACCATCGGTGCCCCCTCCTCTCCTAGACCATCGGTGCGCCGCACTCCGCCTTGTCGTGGCAAATTTTCGTGTTTTGACCCTTTCGTTGAAGTTTATCCAGATCTGACCCCGTTAGTTTTTTCTAAATCTGACCATTTTTCTTACCGCCATGGGGCTCGGCGGTAGGATTACATAGCCTACCGCCATGATCTTCGACGGTAGGAAACTAATCCTTGTCAGCAGCGTAAACGGCCGACGCCCCCCTCTGTCCCACCCTACCGCCGCTGGTCCTAGCGGTAGCGCCGCCAGAACCAGCGGCGGTAGGGTGTGGACAGTTATAAGCCGCTGGCTGCCCGCTCCAGCCCCTTCTCCCCCCACACCCAGCCACCCCCAAGAACAGAGGAGTTCCTCCTCTCGCCCCCTCTCTCATGTCCAGCATCTTCACCATTTTTGCGGATCGAGATGGCCCCTAAGCGAGAAAAGTAATCTCCTCCGATCCCTCCAGTTAGTTTTAGTCAAATAACTTTTGTCGCATTATTTGATTCAAATCACACATATTTTTAAACTAGACTTAAATCTTTTGTACCCTAGATTTTTTTGGTTGATTCTAGATGTTCTATTGTGTTGGATATGAACTCTAATCTAGTTGGAATGGTAGTGTGAAGAATAACCCTAGTTCATATTTTTTTGAAGGAATTTTTTTATATAATGCATGTTGGAGGAATTTGTTTTGATATGATGATACATGTTGATATGCTATGATGCATGATGTATAGTGGATGGTGTTTGAGGAAATATGCTTAAGATGAACCCTAGTTCATGGTTTTTGTTTTTGAAAAAATATGATATGATGCATGTTGGATGTTGTTGGAGAAATATGATATGATTTGATGCATTTGAACCTTGGTGATTGCATCTTGATATATGTATTTATTTATTTTTTAACCACATGATGAACCCTAGTTCATGTTCATGTTTTAAAAAAAAATCTTCATATGCTTATTGAAAGATTGAACTCATAGATTTTTTTGTTGGAAATATGCCCTAGAGGCAATAATAAATTAGTTATTATTATTATATTTCCTTGTTCATGATAATCGTTTATTATCCATGCTATAATTGTATTGATAGGAAACTCAGATACATGTGTGGATATATAGACAACACCATGTCCCTAGTAAGCCTCTAGTAGACTAGCTCGTTGATCAATAGATGGTTACGGTTTCCTGACCATGGACATTGGATGTCGTTGATAACGGGATCACATCATTAGGAGAATGATGTGATGGACAAGACCCAATCCTAAGCCTAGCACAAAGATCGTGTAGTTCGTATGCTAAAGCTTTTCTAATGTCAAGTATCATTTCCTTAGACCATGAGATTGTGCAACTCCCGGATACCTTAGGAATACTTTGGGTGTACCAAACGTCACAACGTAACTGGGTGGCTATAAAGGTGCACTACGGGTATCTCCGAAAGTGTCTGTTGGGTTGGCACGAATCGAGACTGGGATTTGTCACTCCGTGTGACGGAGAGGTATCTCTGGGCCCACTCGGTAGGACATCATCATAATGTGCACAATGTGACCAAGGGGTTGATCACGGGATGATGTGTTACGGAACGAGTAAAGAGACTTGCCGGTAACGAGATTGAACAAGGTATCGAGATACCGACGATCGAATCTCGGGCAAGTACTATACCGCTAGACAAAGGGAATTGAATACGGGATTGATTGAATTCTTGACATCGTGGTTCATCCGATGAGATCATCGTGGAACATGTGGGAGCCAACATGGGTATCCAGATCCCGCTGTTAGTTATTGGCCGGAGAGTAGTCTCGGTCATGTCTACGTGTCTCCCGAACCCGTAGGGTCTACACACTTAACGTTCGATGACGCTAGGGTTATAGGGAATAGATATACGTGGTTGCCAAATGTTGTTCGGAGTCCCGGATGAGATCCCAGACGTCACAAGGAGTTCCAGAATGGTTCGGAGGTAAAGATTTATATATGGAAAGTTGTTGTTTGGGTTCCGGGAAAAGTTCGGTTTTTTCGGTGTTGTACCAGGAAGCTTCCAGAAGGTTCCGCAGGATTCCGGAAGGGTCCGGAGGTCCGGAAAATGTTCCACCACGTCCAATATAGCATCATGGGCTGTAAGGGGGCACCCTAGCCTTAACGGGCCAAGGGAACCAGCCCCCCCAAGGCCCATGCGCATGGGAAGAGGGGAAATCCTAAGGGGAAGGGCCTCCACTTGACTTGGGAGGCACTCCTCCCCCCTTGGCCGCCGCCCCCAACCCTAGATGAGATCTAGGGGGACGGCCCCTCTCTCCCCACCTATAAATAGTGGAGGGGTGGGAGGGCAGCCGCACCCCAAGTTCTGGCGCAGCCCTCCCCCTCTCCCAAGTACTCATCCTCTCCCGCGGTGCTTGGCGAAGCCCTGCAGGATTGCCACGCTCCTCCACCACCACCACGCCGTCGTGCTGCTGCTGGACGGAGTCTTCCCCAACCTCTCCCTCTCTCCTTGCTAGATCAAGGCATGGGAGACGTCACCGGGCTGCATGTGTGTTGAACGCGGAGGTGCCGTCCGTTCGGCACTAGGATCTCCGGTGATTTGGATCACGATGAGTACGACTCCTTCAACTCCGTTCTCTTGAACGCTTCCGCTTAGCGATCTACAAGGGTATGTAGATGCACTCTCCTTCCCCTCGTTGCTAGTTTCTCCATAGATAGATCTTGGTGACTCGTAGGAATTTTTTTGAATTTCTGCTACGTTCCCCAACAGTGGTCTCAGAGCTAGGTCTATGCGTAGTTACTATGCACGAGTAGAACACAAAGCAGTTGTGGACGTAGATGTTGTTAATTTTCTTGCCACTACTAGTCTTATCTTGCTTCAGCGGCATCGTGGGATGAAGCGGCCCGGACCGACCTTACACGTACGCTTACGTGAGACAGGTTCCACCGACTGACATGCACGAGTTGCATAAGGTGGCTAGCGGGTGTCTGTCTTTCCCACTTTAGTTGGAGAGGATTCGATGAAAATGGTCCTTATGAAGGGTAAATAGAAATTGGCATATCATGTTGTGGTTTTACGTAGGTAAAAACGTTCTTGCTAGAACACCTATAGAAGCCATGTAAAAACTTGCAACAACAATTAGAGGACGTCTAACTTGTTTTTGCAGGGTATTCTATGTGATGTGATATGGCCAAAAAGAATGTGATGAATGATATGTGATGTATGAGATTGAGCATGTTCTTGTAATAGGAATCACGACTTGCATGTCGATGAGTATGACAAATGACAGGAGCCATAGGAGTTGTCTTAATTTATTGTATGACCTGTGTGTCATTGAACAACGCCATGTAATTACTTTACTTTATTGCTAAACCGTTGGCCATAGTAGT